ATACTGATGAAATCTTTGCTCGGTTAGGACAGGCTGCTCTTTGGGATATTTCCGGCTAGCAATTTCTCGAGAAAAAAAATGACACCTGCAGTAAGTAATCTCGTAATGAATCAGCCAGAATCAACGTCATATTATTTTTTTTACGTGACTGGATTTTGCTTCGTTTGTGTTTAAGAATTTATGATTTTCATGTTTAAAGGAGGGTGTGTGATATGCCGCATACAGACGTACAATATATATATATATATATATATATATATATATATATATATATATATATATATATATATATATATATATATACAAAAACACGTACGTTTTTTTTTCTGTTATGGATTAATGTAAAATACATCACACAGTATTCTTCTATTGTATTAATTTGAACTAATCATCAATAACTACCAACTACCTATACTATACAAGTCTTGATACATCTACAAGTGTATATCCAGGTGGCTGCAAGGATATCAGGTTAGCACCGACAGACTATACAATAAACGTTAAACTGGGTATTCCAATATACATATATTATCATTATCAAAGTAAACTCTCCCGGGGTACAGATCCATGTTGTGGGTGCCTGTCGATTTCTCAGACAAGGCGCTGGCCCGTTTTCCCTTGAATCCGCGACCCTGGGAATGTGAACACGCTGCACAGGTGTGTTCAGGTGCACAGTGAAGGCGAGGGAGAGAGGGCTTGAGTTTACACTTATACATTCATTTATTTGGGGAAAGCTTCCTGCATTTCGTGGTTTTTACTCTTTGTGTATGAAAGAGCAGGGGGGGATGAAGGTTTATGTCATTAAGGAGTTTGTCTAATTCTTAGTCTCAGTGTTTTATCATTTTAATCTTCTATGATAAAGTTGCATTACGAAAATGAACCGAAAGAAGTGTTCCAGTAAAGTTTTTCAACGTTCACAATTTTCTAAAACTCTTGGTATTTCCGACACAAGCCGACTGGACAACATACGTGATGGCGGTCGTTTACAGCAGACTGCTCGAAGTTGCATTTTCAATCTGCGGATCACCTGCTAAAAAAAGAAAGGAAAGAAAAAGAAAAAAAAGGACAAAAATTCGGTGCTTCCAAGAAAACCCGAAACTTTCATCGTCCGCCTTCGATACACACTTGGGGCTTGATTTCGCAACTTTCTCTCTCCTTTCTCGATCAAGCGTCTTCAGCTTCCATGAGGTCCAGCTTCTTCGGTGACTGCTCCGAGGTCAGCTTAAATCCACTTACAGGAGGGAATGACCCCTTGACCTTCTCTCGAGATCAAACTCTTGCGACCAATTTCAAGAGATGGGGACCTGACTCTCGGTACTGAGAACGACCTTTACTACTGTTTCTCAAGGTTTACCCAGTGTCACGATTTATGATATGGTATTTCGTGTCTCACGTGCCCGAGAAAGTGATTAGTCTGTGTCTGTCTGCTCACGAACACTGATATTATAGAAGTTTTTTTTCTTTCTTTCTTTCTTTCTTTCTTCTATATTAAGGAGAAAGTGTGAGATTTCTTGAAATTAAATATCATTCATTTCATTTCCGAGTCATTAAAACACTACAAGCTCATCATTCCTTCGTGATGTCTTGCGCAAAATGGAAAATTCCTGACCTTATTTCACACTTACACTACAGAAACCGTCCGAAATCTTTGCTATGCCGCACAGTTTCACCGCGGTTAAAATCACTCTGAGATCACTCCAACTTTGGTACCTCGCCCGCCATTTCCTTCGTGTTTTTCTTTTATCTCTTTCAGAATCCACAATCAGTGTCAACGGAAGTTCCACTATCTCCGCGCACTCGCTCCGCATTCTTCGATTACTGCGTCTGGAGCCGAGCCAGTTTCGCGTCGGGTTTCATTAGTACACGCTGTTGACGGCACCTCGGAATTCGACAACTTCCCGACGGCCCGCTTTCCCTTGATTGCGCCGCCACGAGCCGTGCTGAGGGGATTCCCAGCCTTGCTAATGATCCTTTACCTCTCTCCCGTTACTCCTTGATTTATTTCCCCCTGCGTCTATTTCTAGCGTCCTTCTATCCCTTCGCGTCCCCTCGAAGGTCCCTCTAGACAGCGCTCTCCTTCGGCGGCGCCACCGACGGGGAGGTAAGCGGTTCTCTCGCTTCGTCCTTCGTCAGGTAGTCGGGGTTGAGCGCCACCGTTGAGGAGGACGTTCGGGACGACCTTGAGGAGGCGGTCTTCGAGGAGGCGGTGCACACGGACGAAGGGGTCGAGCACTGGCCCAGGGAGTCCGTGGAGGCGAGGGGCGCCAGGCAGCCGCCCATGGGAGTCAGCTTGTCCCGCAGGAGGACGTCCGTCTCGAGCGGGGCGCGGCCGTACTGCGTGCGGGGAAAGAATGGGGGCGGTTTAAAGGGGTGGCTGAGGAAAGGCTGTAGGAATTAACATAGTTATATAGGATGTTTCACTTTTTTGAATTATCGACTTATATTAACCCCTCTCTCTCTCTCTCTCTCTCTCTCTCCATACACACACACACGCATATAT